CTCGCAAACCGGCACCTCGATACACGCATCAAATTGACAGTTTTGAAGAGCGTCATCGTACCGCCGCTAGAGCACACCGGAGAAGTGTGGGAAGGAACAAAAGGTGGTAGTCAAAGAGCTCGAGGTGGCGTAAATGAAAGCAGCGAAAATCATCCTTGGATGCTGCAAGCGCACAAGTAATGCAGCCGTCAGGGCAGAACTGGGGATCCAATCCCTTCGATCGGGAAGAGACTCGAGGAAGCTGACATGGCAGTATTGCATGTTGTGCGGTATGGGAAAGGAGAATAGCTTCGGAGGCGGAGTGGACAAACACGAAGAGGGGTAGATAATTCACGGCGTGGATCACGTATGGAAGGAGTTCGAAATTGACGAAGGCGATACGCTGGAAAGGGGGTCTAAAAGGGTTCCAGGAGAAGATATTTGTTGCTTTTGCCGAGAGACATGAACAGAATCTAAGAAAAGAAACCAAGGATAAGGAGAGTCTAGCAGTGTACGGACGGTTGAAGGAAGGAATAGGGTTCAAGGACTACCTACATGGACCAATTGATGCAAATGTCTTTTCCTAAAACAAAAAGTTTTAAAAGTTCATTCCAAAATCTTCTAGAATGCATTTATGTTTTAAAGAAAGTCTTAAAGGCATAATAAGTGTTTGGTTCTTTGTCGTTTTCGGTACAATACTCCAAGCATGGCAATGTTCAGCAAACAAAATAGAGGTAAATCGATCCCGTACACCACCCTTGATAACCCTTGTTTTGGGGCGGGGGGTGTGCGACCCAGCCTGTGTCCACATGTAATAATCAGGACGCAAGCTGAGCTATGAACGTATCGCTCGGGTTAGGCGCTCCGAACAACCCTTGCCTAGCGATGCTGCTGTTGTTCTAGCTGGTAGTAGGTGATGAGGGGTCGCCAGGAGAGCGTCAAATGCGTTATTTCGGCCCCAAACACTATTTCGTCAAACCGCCCTCTGTGCAAGCTGTTAAAGGTGAACTCAGCACTAGATACGGATCTACGGAGATCAGGGGAGTTTCGTGTATCATGTTTGTTTGTGTTTACTGGAAGGGCGGACCGACTTCTAGTGTGCAGGGCTTGCTTGCCCTACTCTTCACTCGATATTAACAAGGTCTTAAGTCAACCTTTTCTCCACACTCTCTGATGCGAAGCACCCGCTGCCCAACACAAGCAGAAAACAAACACAGCAATAATAATGCTGTTTGCTCCACCGGTGGAGTAACTTCATAGTTGCGCCACCAGGTAGATCTAAAAAAAAATCAAAACAAGAACAAACCACACCCAACCTGTTCTACGAATTGAGCCTTGAAAAACTCAAAATCCAAGCACTTGGGCACCACTTGCGACCTCGGTTGAGACCCACACTAAAACCTATCTACATGGAGGCTCGCAGCAGCATTCATTTATTCTTACTGTTGCGTTTAACTACGTTCAGGAAGAGAAATCTCTAGTGTTGAATAGGGTGTGCGTCGATGCTCGACTGTATGCCAGCTACCATGCCCCTTCACCGGGTCTGATCTGGGTCGTCTCTGTTGTATGCATCACAACCGCGTCATGATTAATATCCTTCGTTAGTTCCAATCCGAATCCGATCGGTGTCCGCTTCAGAAACTGTGCGAAAACTGCGGGAAAAATAAACTAAAAAAGGATCTTGACCGAACATTATTGACTGGGGCCGATTTCTCTCAGCTCGCGAAAGCTACGAGCACGAGATCTCGCGGCAGTGCCTTTGCCCTACCTAACTATGGGTGGTTTTTAACGCTTCGGAAAAGTAGTGAAATTTTCCACGGAACGGTGACAAAGTTGAGCAGCGATAAAATGAAAGCGCAATGAGCAGCACCCGACACAGAGGACAACACACTTAGAAAGATCCTACCCACCCGGCCTGCTGTTTTCAGTTTTCAGCAACAACAGGCGCAGGGCAGAGTGTCGCAACCTGGGTGTTGCTTGCGATTTCTTCAGTAGACTAGATATGCCAGTTCATTTTCCACGGTTGGTTGCGACTCCCATCTTTGACCACCACCTGCCCAAAGGTAGACGAGCCCAACAATCATAGGGCGGCAGCCACGCTGACGGCCAGCATCATGTAGATAGATAGATGGCCAATCCGAAAGAAGTAGCGTGTCGGACGCCCTGCTGCTCTTCTGCTGCGTGGTACCGTGGATTGATGTTGACGTGTCCGACCAAAAACAGATCAGCTCGCCGCATTTTTCCAACGGCATTTTGGTGAGGTGGCACACGTCTCTCACACATCTTATCGAGCAGCACCCAAGCACCGAATACCCACGAAGCAGTACGGCGCCGGGAGATGGTAATATATAGACAGCCGAACCGAAGGAATCAGCGCGTTGTTGGAGGTCTTGGTACTGCTGCTGTACCCGTTCTACTGTTTGTTTCCGAGTTTGCTATGTATGTGTGATTGAAAAAAAATCCTCGGCACCAACAGCAGCAGCAGTTGAGACGTGAACACCACGAAATGTCTAGTTTTGGACCAAAAACGGACTGAACGCCGATTCTGCCGGTTTTCCATCATCTCCACAACAGACCTGGACGTGAGTCTGGCAGGTCTTTCGAGCGTTCTCAGTGATGTTACAGTGCCCGCGGTGCACTTGTCCGATGCTTCTGTCAAAAACACGGATCCGTGAAGAAAGTAGCTAACGAATAACCCCGGTTCCGTCTTTTCACGTTTCCGGGGAAAAACGCCTCCGAATATGTTCAAGAAAACACGCTTCCGTGAAATGTTCCGTGTTTTTTTGGTCGCTAAGAACCACCCTAAAATAAGAACCCCTAAAAAGTATGAACCTCGAGACTTTTTTTTATTTTCTTAATATCACACAACAAATCCATCTCTATCTATAGAAATAAGTCTAAGATAGATTAGCAATGAATCCATAGCGTGAGCGAAAGGCTACCATTATGTCTACGGTTTCCCAGACAGCATACAACGATAACTCCCCTGTGGGTAACAGGCTCAACAAGGCAGTTTGGTAGCCATCTTGTGTGTCTATCTGTCTGTATGTTATGTTGGGAAGTTGTAGACGGAAGATTTAGGGGAATTCGGTTTTTCGGGTGTTTTATTATAGCACCCTTCTGTGGTTGCGGAGCAAGCGCGTCTCGGGGGGGGGTGTATATTTTCGTCATCAACTTATTTTTGTGTGTCATGTATGGGGGCATGTGCGGCGCGGGAGAACATATTTATTTACCTTGTTGTGTAGACTAACGGCATGTCGTTCAATGTGAGAAGGGCACGGGCGAACATTGTCTCATCATTGCCTCCTGACGTGGCCGCCGATCGAGGCGTGTGGTTGGGGTTTCATCACTGACATACATGTGGTTGTGTGTTAAATGCAGTGGGTATGGTCGCCTCTCTCGCCCGTGTGTCGGCAGAAGGTATAGCTACCTTTCCCATTTATTTGTAGGCAGCGCGGACCAAAAGTAAACACAGAGTGTATCACTTCATGCATCATAAAGACTTTTTCCATGGAATTTCAACCGGTACCAAACGCAAGCATTGTGCCCACACCAGCATCCTTTTGACGTCTTTTTTTGTGTCTGCGTATCTGTCTTCGTCGCCGCGCAGTCCATGCCTTATCGGGGCTGTGTACAACTCTTTCGACCCCGACAGCAGTCGCAGGGTCTTGCTGCTTTCTTCGCCTTCTTGCGACTTGGTATGATGAACATGGCCTTCCACGGACAAGAACATGGGAGAAAAAAATCAACACAAGTTGGCCGCAAATTTGTTGACGACGACAATCTCGCGCAACATCCCGGGCACAAGGCAGCCCATTCACCGCGCCCCGCCCCCCCACGTCTAATACATGAACCCAGGGTTTCACGTCACGCCCCATACCAAACGTGCAACCGGGTGGTCCCGTTTATCGCTTCTGCTTGGAACGAAAGTTGTCTCTCCTTTCGGTCGAAAACGCAACGATCCTTCTTGCGGTACACGGACGGAGCACGGCACCACAACGGTCTACTGCTGCTGCTTAGGATGCATCAACGTACCCGTGCCAAATCATCGCTGGCTACAAAGGACCTTGCAACGATTCACCTGAACGCCCGTCCGATGCTGGTTACTTATTGAAATCTCACAGAAAAGTAAACTAGAGCGGCACGATCGATACACGCACGTCCCCAGTCCCCCGGTACGCTCCTTACCGCTGCCTTTGTCTCTTACGGGAGAAAACACATTTAAACGAAAGAAAAGAAAGAACAGAAACATGTTAGTCTATGGAGGAAATACGCGACATCTATCCACCCGACCATCATGACGTAGAGGAATAATCTAAGCCTCCCGTGCGTACACGTTGGAACGGGGGCCAGCAAAAAATATGGATAGTTGGTGGACGCAATCTGCCAACCAATGTCTGATCGGGAAACCGGGGGGGGGACGCCGGAAGCGCAGCCTCGATACCCCAGCCTCTAGATAGCAATGGCCTCATCGAGGAAAGCACGCCAAGAGAAAAGAACAATCTAACAACGTTCGTTGAAAAAAACAAAACGCCAAAAGTCCGATCTATGTGGCAACTCAAAATGAAGCACAACGATCGTTTTAGTGTGTTGGGTCGTGTGCTTCGTCGTACAGTACCAACATGACTCTTTGCTTCTACGGCAGAGACGTTCCCTGCCCAACAACCGACATGAACGTGAACAAATCTAAACTCCAAGCTATCTATCGTTCATTGTACGTTCGAGACAAGATAAAGTCGGCAAAACATCGATCCGGACACGCTTCGCTTCGACAGAACCGCCGAACATGCGAAAACATCGACGCTCACATGACCCGCCAGAACCCCCTCTCACTGCATGCCGGGGGATGGGGCTGGCAATTCGGAACATCGATGACCAACTCACGCAATACTAGCAATAAAAAAGGCCGTCGAAGAACCATGCTCCTATTTATCTCTTCCAACATGTTCTTATCTGCCTCCCTGCAAAATAGCAGTGTACGCTCGACTCGTTTAGTATCGCCAAGTCGGCCTAATCTACGCGAGCACAGGAAAAACGCACGGGGGTCATCTCACTGTCGGTACTTGGGCTGGAAGAGCTTCTCTTCCTCCCGTACAAAGGCAGGTGATTGCCCCCCCCAAGAACTACGCTCGTGTGACACACCGGGCGTCCTCTCGAGGGATTAACGACGTGTTTCACCACGCAACGCTATTCTCAAAATATTGGGTATTTCCAGGGCAAAATCAACGTATCAACATCTCCGAAATATAAGGTTAACCCATCATTATTATATAATGTGGTCGGGGTAATCACCTCCCCCCCCACTCGCGAGACAAGTGTGCAAAGCAAACGCATCTCCGGTGAGAACTGGAACACGACGTGGTGTTTAGCCGACAAGGTCCAGAAAACCAGATTGAAAAAAGTCAACATGAAAAGATCCCCCTTACGATACTGCACCCACACCCTTTCCTCCTGCTTTATTTATCACATCACCTTTCCTGTACATATAAATTCCACACCACGGAATCATCGCGCGGAACAGGAGAGGAAACCACCTTATCTATCTATCATCCGCACCACCTGTACCTATCTCATGCAAGCATCGAGAAAACCATGGGCCATCGTAGAAGGAACAACGCTCTTCGCTCTACCTGGGTCTCCCTTTCCCCGTGTCTACTACTCCCAGAGAGACAAGCATGAGGCTCATCAAGAACTCGTGCTAGAATTAACCCCTCGAGCGCTAGTAGGCTACAATAGGACGGCCCACCAGGCAACAACAAATACTTCCACTTCCACTTGTACAACTACGCGACCCCCAATCGCCGGTTTCCCCACATGGCCAGCCTGAACCATTCGCCACGACGCTCGCCCAGCAGGCCAGGCTTTCCGTCGACCGACGAGTGACAATCAAGAAAAACAACCTCATCCATCTGCGGCGTTGCTGGTGGCTTCTGCGTCCTAGCTTTCACCGCCGTCGCGCCACGCCAGCACGGTACACACACGGCCGTCAGCGTTGTGGCAACTTCTTGGTTGGTTGCCGCTGTGGTGATTCCCAGCAGTTCGCTTGTTCCCCGCTCCCGGTACGCTTTTCACCCTCCACCCAACTCGTCTCGTGAGGAGAACATGTACACCCTAGCGGCGAGCGTGCTATAAACCGACGTTGGAACCTGAATCGTCCACCGCCACCAAAACATGACAAAATACTAAAAGAAAACCGACTTTCAATCAGGCTCCGTTGCCCGTGGTGAACGCCGCCGCCGTCGCCGCCTCAGCGCCTCTCCCACAGGAACCTTCGTGAGTTACCGACGCTGGCACGGGCACCCTCTCGCAGCCGACGTCGGCTCCACAGCCACACTTTTGTTTGGTTCCCTCTACTCGAAAGCTTCTATCGTTATCGTCAACGATGCGTAGCAGCTCCGCGACAGTGTCATTGCTCGCCAGACGCCTCCTTCGTATCGTCCCCTTCCCCCCCCCGCTCGCCGCCCGCCTCCTTGGCATCCTGGAAACCCGGCAGGAAGCCGTACGCCGCGCCTCCGGCAAATTCCACCGCCCTCGACACCGTCCACCATGCCATTCCTGTCAGGCCATGCGGGCCGCTCCCTGCGTATCGGGATTAACGCGCGTAGCAACAAATGACAGCGTTTTTTTCTCATGTGCGCCCGCCTCTTACGTTTTTAGCATGGGCGGAGGGGGGCACTACGGTACACATGTACCCGGTTGATGTTGTTGCGCCCTGTTTCCCTCCCCGCTGTATGCTATACTCCTTTATGTATGTCCTCTGCATTGCCTTCAGCCTCTGTGCTGTGTTTTTGTGTTTATTTTTTTCATGACCTCCCTGCATACTCTGCTTTGTTGGGTACCGTGATCTCGCTTTGCTGTTGCCTTTGTTTTTGTACGTCTGGCTGTCTGCCCAACTGCCGCCTCTTTGTCCTGTTTGCTTCGTTACTCCCATGCCCTGGTGCGTAGTGCCTTGTGCTGGTACGTTACCCTTTCTTTAGTTTCTATTTGGNACAACAACAACAACAACAACAACAACAACAACAACAACAACAACAACAACAACAACAACAACAACAACAACAACAACAACAACACGGTTGTTGAAGTATATCGCCGCAGCTGCTGCTACCGAAACCATTCCCGCTCCCCATTATGTCAACTATGTACTTGACCCAAGTGGTGTCGTCTCGCGCAGGTCTCACTGCGGGAACACGATCACAAGGCCGCCACGAAATGCAGCATGGGGGAGCCAGCATACGGATTTTTGTGGACCATTTTGTCCATCCTGTAGGGGGGGGAACACAGTCACACCAACGTGGAAAAGTTCTTGCCGTGACTGCTACATTGATCCACGCGGTCCTGGCCTGCACGGTACAACGATGACGACGACCACAACAACAACAACAACAACAACAACAACAACAACAACAACAACAAGCACCTCTGATGCATAATCGTACACTACACGAGCTGCTTACAGTTCGTCCTCTACAGCAAAAAAAAACAAAACATAAGTGACGATACAACCAACGTCAGTACACAGCATGCATTGAAACGTTGGTGGTGCGTCCTAAGTCCACACCAACGGCTTACATATAACAAAAGCCGACTGACACGCCAAGCAGCTGCCAGGAGTGGGCACACAACACAATCGCTACCGATATTTTGTAACACAGTGTCGCACCTGCTTCTTGCGCCTTTCCCTCCGACTCCACCCCGGTGATTTCGGGTGCTGCAATCTGCGTCGCCGCCATCGATTCCACAGCGTCGGTCTCCCCCCTTTCCTCCTCCTCCCTTGCTGCAAGTGATGCCACTGCAGACGCGGGAGTTGTGGTATCACGCTCATCGTTGTTGTTGTTGTTGTTGCTGCTGCTGCTGCTAACGATGCTGCTCTTGTGATCCACGCCATGCTCCTCCTCTGGAGTCGTGGTGCTTTCACCCCCTTGACCTTCATCGCGACATGCTGAGGATGGCGTGTTGGTGCCCGCACACGGGGATTCCCGCTGCTGCTGCTGCTGCTGCTGTTGCTGCCCGTCCCCGTTGGAAACGTCATCCCCAGGTGGAAGCTGAGCCGTAACCTTGCTGCTGGTAGTGGTGGTGTCGTCGATGGTGCACAGGGGAGACAGCGACGCGCTGGTCGGCCTTTGCTTCTCGCGCCGGTCCTCGTTCTCAGAACCGCCGTCGTCGCAATCGAAATCCTCCTCGCTGCCGGCGTCTCCGTTGCTTATTGGGGTACTTGCACTTGGATTCTTGGCTTCCGCCGGCTGTCTCGCAGTGCCGGGCGCATCGTCAGCGACTGAAGAAGCCTCATCTTCAACTAGCAGCCCGCCTTGCTCCTGCCCTGTGCTCTCCCCGGCTTTGTGGAGCTCACCGGTGTCGGCTCCTCCGCTGCTCCCCTCCGCCGCCTTCGACAGGGCACCAACCGATTCGATCCCGCTATGGTCTGACGACCCCGCCCGGCGAGCACTAGACTCAACCCCTCCGCCGCCTCCACCGCCGCCTCGACTCACATTGGCTGCTCCGTCAATAGTCCCGTCGATGGTAACGCCGTCGATGGCACCGTCCACAGTGCTGTCCTTCTCCGCGGCCAACGCTTCGCAACCACCACCCCCGCCAACAGAGTCCTCGGCCTTCTCGGGCGCCCCTCCACCGCCCCACCACTCCAGCACGCCGCCCAACACCGGGACCGAACCCAGCGCACCCCCGGCCACGTCGCCGATCGCCCCCGCCAGCTCGCCCGCGGCGCCCACGACGGTCCCCGCCCACGTCGCCCCGAACAGGTCCCAAGCATCATCGTCACCGGGGTCCCCGCGGACCGGAATCGCCGCCGTAGCAGCATCAGCGCTTGCCTCAATGGCGGCGGCGGCGGTGTCTGCAGCGGGCAGTGCGGCCGCCGTTGGTTCTTCGCCGTCCGCCGAGCACCGCGACGGCGGAGAAAGCGGTGGCGGTGACGCCGACGGCACAGGAGAAGTCGCCGACGGCCACGCTGCCATCGCCTCTTCGCTGACTTGCGCCCCTCCCGACACTGCCACTGCCGCCTCTTCTGGCGGTGACAGAGGTGCCGCTGCTTCTGTGTCCTCTGCTGCCGCTGTTTCCGCCGGAGCCGACGAAGCCCTGGCGCTTCTACCCTCTTCGGTCCCAGCAGAAACTCCGCCCAAGCCGACACCGGCGTCATCGCCGGCGGTGGGGGCTGGGGCTGCGGTAGGGGCAACAGCGGTGGCCGTCGCCCCGTTAAGCGACCCAGGAGAGCCAGCCAGGGGCCGAGTCAGCCCGAGTCCGAGGCTGTTGTTCGTCCTGCTGCCCGTGAACCGGCCGGGGTAGGCGGGACTCTCGGCTGATCTCGGCCTGTTTCGCTCGGTCAGGCCGACGAACACAAAGCGACCACGACAAGATATGAAACGGAGGGGATCACGTTCGTCAGCCAGCCTGAACGCGGTTGAGACATTCGTCCTTTCCGAAGGGTGCTTGTGGGAGGTGCATCGGCTGCACGGGGTGCCGAAGCTCTACTACTCACCTTGTGTGCGACCCCGGCTGGTTCGTCAAACATCAACCGAAAGGATCAGACTGGTGACGCAAAACACGATTTACTTGTAACAGGCCAACCGGGCGACGAGCTGAGCAACAGGCCGCGCTCCGTGCGGTTGGCCGAGCTCACTCACCTCGAAAACGCTAGGTAGTCCTTCAGCAAGCGGGGCCGCCCACCCAGGACACGCTCGGCTCCTATCCTCGCCGCCAGGTCAGCACGAAAAATATCCGCCTTGTCGCGATCAACGGGGAGCGAGCTCTTCGGCACTGCGGAGGCCTGGATTTGGGGGGGGCAACAAGCCAACGCACAGAGACGACGGGCAGCGTTATGTACCACGGCACAAGCATTGGAGTCAAGCGGAGTATCGGGTGTGTGTGTGTCCACCCCCTCCTCCGTCCACAAAAGTTATGTGTTTCTCAAGACTTTCGGTCGAAGATCACGCACGCCGCCATAAAGCTGGAGTGAACGGGCCGCAACGAATGAGCACACACCGAACCAATCCTACGGGAAGCTTCCAAAGGACGTTGCACAACCAGTTGCACTCGATTGTGTTGCACACAACCTCTCCCTCTTGGTGGGTTGACCACCGTCACGCCTTCTAGCTTCTTGGCACATAATTTTGACCGTGTTAAACGACTACCCCTTCGCAATATGGCACGGGATTTCCATTGCCCCCCTACTCCCACTAGCTCGGTATGTCCTGGAGGGATCCCTCAGAATAAGCCTTGACACACCACTCTCGTCGCTGCCTCCTCCCTCTTCCTCACGGCTAGATACATATTGGCTCGTTTTTCCAAGAGGAACCAAAACGGCAAACATCCCTGTTCACACATACCAAACACCCCGCGCGCACTGTGGTGCACTACGCACAAACCCAACCGGCGAGTGCGTCTAGCGCGTCCCTCCGAAAGACCTGGCCACTCACCGCCTCGGGGCAGCTCACGCGAGGAGCATCAGTCGCACCCGAAACTGCCACCCCCGCGACAACCCGGTCGACCACACGAGGACTCGGCCTACCGTCGCCGCCGCCGCCCGCGGGGTCCTCTCCGAGCTTCTCCGCAAGGCGCGCCGCGTTTTTCCAGACGTTCTCGAGAGGGGGATTGGACTCTCGGAGAAGAAGGGATAGGCGGTCGCCGGCCGCTCCTGCTGCCTGCGTCCGCCGCGGCAGCGGCGGCGGCGGCGGCTGCAGCGGCCCATGGTCGCGTTTCTTTCGGGTTAGCTGTTGAAGGGAAGAGAGCACGGCGCCGACGCGGTTGGGAAGCGGAAGGTTAGAAACCATATTCGCAACTAGCCACCCGGACGGCGCACCCGTCTGAGACACACCTTCTTGAAGTTCCACCGCTTGGGGGGGAAACCCCAGCCACGACGCTCCAATTCACGGGCACGCTTCACATTAGATCCGAGCGCCACAAACCTTAAAAGCTACTGGCAAAGGCATCGACAAGCGAATTTCGTCTAGAGACCATCCCGTAGAGATCACCGTGTCCAATTTGTCGTCCGGCAAGCCATTATAGAACAATCATGGAATATTGCCTACCGACGCACGGTCGCGAGCAGATCATCCTGGAAGAGAACACCTTTACATCAACGGTTTTGTGCTGTCATCTATTGGACATTGGGCCAAGACGAGGCGATCGGTACACCCGTAAGGCAGGAAAAACACTGCCGTACATAGCTCCAAGCGATGTCGCAACAGTCTTTTGTCACTACCCCAGCCTTCAACGACGTCGCCTACCGCTGCATGCTCCACTAAAACTCCACCGCACTCCCAACGTCCAGCTTAGCGATGCCCTTCTTGAGTGTGGCCAAGAAGCTTGATCCTTCCAAGCGCGCGAAACCGGATTGGCCTAAAACCCTGTCATGTTTGGTTGTTGTCGCCGTCGTTTCTCAAAAGCAACTCCCCGCCAACACCCTACCCTGCCCAGCCTGTGGCCGGCTCCGCAGGCGCAAAAGTGTCCAAGCCGTATCGCACCAGTAGTCTACGCAGGTTTTTCGAAGAAAGCAACCACACTGGATGAAACATAGAATCGGTTAAGTTGGGGAGTAGGGTTAGGGTCTGTGTGTCCCCTCCCTGATCCTTTTCTTTTCGTAAGAAACATTTTTTGTTGCGGAGGCAGTGCTACCGCACCCACCTCTTTCCGCAAGACCCGAAGCCTCCACAACTCCACCGCCGCCGGCCCCGCGAGGGCCAGGAGAAACGCCCACTCCATCCACGATGCTCCCCCGACCAACGACCGCAACAGCAAAAAGGCGGACGCGCACGAGGTTGGACATGCTCTCAAGAGGAGCGGCGCCTCCGATGACACGAGCACCCATCCCGGGCTAGCAGAGGCAAGGGTTTCCACAGGACGCCAGAACCTTGGCACCGGGGGCTGAAGAATCGAGGGAGGGGCAGGGGTGGGGTGTACTCAAGTTTCGCATGCCTTTGATGTTAGACCATCGACCACGCGTCCTCGAGAGGACGGAGCTCCGGTGGATTCCCTGGGTAGTGATTGGATGGTCGACTGTCTGGACGGTGTTCATGTCCACTTCCGCATGGAAGACCGAAGCGGGCTTCAAAGCTAACTTAGGGCGGTGGTTGTCAACCTTCGGGGACAACCTGACAAGCGCGACATCTTGACTTTGCCACCACCAGGCACTACCTACCACGGAGACCACGATCGCCTCCACCACTACGCGATAAAACACCCCCCACAAGCAGGAAACTCGCCGAAACTGATCACATCCGCCCCCCCTCCCCCCCCCCCCCCCCCCCCCCCCCCCCCCCCCCCCCCCCCCCCCCCCCCCCCCCCCCCCCCCCCCCCCCCCCCCCCCCNCGGTCTACTGTTTTAACGCGGTGTGGTACTGTCGACAGCACCGCCATGACCGCGCGATAATCGATGAACCAGCGGGAGAAACGACGAGCCACAGCCAAAGCCACTCCACTCACCTCACTGCCCCTCCCTTCCAGCCACCCCGTGAGCGCCTCAACCCCCCTCCCGGGAGACGGCGCCTCCGTAAGCTCTGGACTATCCCTTACTCCATCCTTCACAAAAGTGTCATGCATGTCCCCGCTGCTGCGACCCCGGTCCCCTCCATCGCCGCCGCCGCCGCCGCCGCCGCCGCGCCCACTCGTACTGCCGACAAGCCTCTCCCGTGTGATCGACGATACGGCTTGGACGAGCATCTCGCGCAGCTCCAGGGCGGAGAAAGTCGGAGGCTGGGACCAGTATTCGATCAACCAGCGGCCAGCGGCCAGCTCCAGCAGAGACTCGGGTGAGAACTTCTCGATGCATGGGTGTTTGTGGGTGGCATGTTTCGGGCGAGGTTGGCCGGAGGGCGGATGGTTCGGCCACGGGTAGGGGGGCTCGGCGGTAAGTGCGGGTAGCGAGAAAGCTTTGATGAAGAGTGACATTATCCATGCATATCAATGTCCATCGTTACAGCTGTAGCCGAGCAGTACCCTCTGGGCAAGCTCGCACGCTACAAAAATATTCTACCTTGGCCAGTTGAAGTGGTCGATGTCACACAAACACACATACACAAACACACGACCTCAAGAGCGGCGATCACCTCGTGGTTGCTGGCCTCTCCAAGCGCTTTCTGCACCGTAACCACCAGGCTGTAGCGGACGGCCCCTTCGACCCGCCTAGCGGAGAGCCCCCCCAGCTGCCATGCCGCCAGCGAAAGTAGCATGGATCCTAGTCCCTGGCGGACCACGGTCCTATCCCACTGCTGCTGGGAAAGCGTTCCCACCGCCGTTAGGAGCAGGAGGGCGTGCCATGATGCCACGAGGCACCTGATGGCGGGGTGCGTATACGTGAAGTGGCGTCGCTTAAGAGATTGGTGTGCATAGGAAACGATAACAGCAGTCGTCCGGGAGCGATCTGTTGTAGTCCCGTGAAAATAGACGCTGGACACAACGGACCCGTTCAGAATACATCGGTGAGTCGCTGCACAGCAGCAGATACAACACAGCCATGGAGTGCGCCCACTAGGGTTTTCAACGACATGTAAGCCGATAAACAGGAAACAACCCCCCCATAACTCATTCCCACATGCTACTGGACATGTTTCGAGCTTCCTCGGGACAGTCTTGTCAACCCCGGCCAAACGGACACCGCGCAACTTGAAGTAATGAAACACGTCTTCCACGCACCTAAACTTGCCCTCTCCTCCTTTGAGCTCCGCCACTCCCGCCAACACCACCGACGCTCCCACCAGACAGGCGTACACGGTCGAAGCGATAAAAAGACCCACGGCGAGCCAGGCGCTGCAACTCCTGCGAAACAACAAGACCAACACCAACAATGCAACGACACACGCGGGGGGTGCGTATTACCGTAAATCTACTTCTCCATGAAGGCTAGGGATACCTGGTTCGTGTGTACGGCGCATACAACGCAAAAACAGTTTTTCCTGAGCTCTGTCCTTGGACTCCAAAAAGGGCAAAACGCAGAGACTTCGCCCGCCCATATAGCCGAAACTACAAGCAATAGGGGAAGCGCGATTGGGCCAGAACACTCTACGCCCCTCGTGCCAGCTTGCCATCGAAGATGCATCGAAGATGTCATCCGCAGGGGAGAAAAGGGGCTTCGCCACGCATGCATACCACGAACTGCTGCGCCGCAATCCAGCCGCGGCCGCCTCTCCCCGCGCTCCCCTAAAACCAGCCAGAACACATCGACACAACCGTGGTAACAATCAGCCGCACAACCCACCTCGCCGCCATTCGCAAGAAGCAGAACTGGGCGGTCGCATCCAGCGCCGGAGGCGCGAGGGCCAGCAGTACCACCAGATCCCGCCACTTCCTCGCCGACTCTGCTACTGTGCTCTCACCCTCGTGATTACCGCCACCGACTGCTCCCTTCCCATCATCACTCTCAACTTCGGCGGCCGCCGCCCAGAGTTGCGCCGCACCCCCGCGGCGGCGGAACCTCGAACCGGTCAACTCCGAAGCGGGGTAAGGCAGCAGCGTTGTTCGCATCGGCTCCGAGCGCACCCAGAGAGCTGCCCCCGCCAAGAGGACAATGCCCCAGAGGGCGAGGAAGAGCATGAGGCTGCTACAGCTCACGGCAAAGGAGCCGGCTAGCAGGAGCACGCCATTGCGCGCGCGGGGCGACTGTTGGTCCATTTTTTAGAAGCGATAGGTGGCGGGAGGGGCGGGTGAAAGTTTCGGGGTGGGTGGAGATTTTGTATGTAGCGGTAACTGAATAATTGTTTCTAAATACCCATCGACCCTTCTGATGAAGGAGGGGTGGGGGTCGAGCCACTAGTGTGCTCCATGCCCCCTCGTCGCATTGGCACGGCGTTGCAAACAATACGAACATAGTATAGCATAGCCTTTTTCTCCCCTCCTGATGCACCAAGCTGAGAGACCCGTACCACCCTCAAGAACATGTCCGGGTGGGTGCCCTCTGTCTCCACGTTTACCCGCGAAACCCCTTGCACCAAAGCAAGAGGCGAGTATCCAAGCGCAAGATCCGACTCAAAAATCTGACGAAACGAACGCACCGCCAACAGGTTTCCCGCCGTGTGTTGCGCGACGTGACGCGAGACCGCAGCCGCGCAGAGCTTCCGAGGTCTTCTCCACTGCCTCTGCCGCCGCCGACTCCCCCAAGAGGACGCGACCCCCCCCTCAATACTTGGCCTAGCCGCGGGCCCCAGAGATGATGATTGCCGCTGAGCGAACATCCCCGACGAAGAAGACGTGTTGAAACCGGCACCGCCGCTGGTGCTGCGGGAGCGGCGTCTGGGGTCCCCCCCGTCCCGCTGCCGCGGGTACGGCTGTGGGGAGGGGGACGTGGCCCGTCCCCTCAAGCTAGAGCCCCGCACAGCGGTAGACGCGGTGCCACCGCTCCTTCTGCCGCGGTGTCCGATCCGTCTCGCGGTGCTGTCATCGACGGGAAAAGCCCACCGAAGCTCGCGGCGGGTCGACGGCAGCGATTGAGCTTCCGCGCTAGGGGTACTCCTTTCTGCCTCCGCTGGCGTTGATGACCGCCGAGAATCGACAAGTGGATTGGTCATGTTTCCTGGTTGGAGATGCGAGCATCGAGGCAGTGAAGTAAGAAGCAACAGCAGGAGGGAGGGGGAGGCGGGGGCGAGGACTGAGACGGAACGCGGGGCCATTGGCAAAGGTTGCACATCGGATTTTCGTCAAGCGGCCCGGACCGCAATGCCCTGCGAGTGAACTGCTGTGTTCACGCACGTCTGGTACCGACAATGACTCGTGTGCACACGCGGTACAAGCAGTGTCAACTGCCTTTGCCTTGTCTGCATCGTTTTGTACTGTTATATGATAGAAGAAAATAAGACAGAACTAACTGTATGTGTTGCCACGGAAGCAACAGCGATATGGTAGTGATGGTGACGTTTCGCCACGTGGCTGCAGCGAAAGTAGCACGACGCACATGGGGTCCTCCCCAAGTTGTACGATTGACCCGGGCAACAACAGTGCATACGTAGGTCCCGCGTACCACACTACAGAAGTAGCCTAGTGGTGATTCGATTTTTTAGCGCTCGACATCAACCACCTTTGTCGATTGGTGGTTCATCTCATTGTCCCTCTCCATCTGTATCTCTGCTCAATCTCTATTCCTCTGTTGTATCTCTGCTCTATCTCTACTTTCCGCATCTCTCTCTCAAGGGCAGTGCTGTGAAAGTGGGGGCGGCATCCACCTGTTGTAACCACAATGGCTGTGCAGCCGCATGTATCAGAATGCAAACCACGTCACGTGTGTTTCAGTGCCGGGGTGTCAACGCACGAGAAGCCTTCGAGGGGTGAAGGACCGTCGCGCAACACACTACGCCTGGAGGGGGGGACGTACGCGCGCGTCTCTGTCCTCAACGCTCGTTGGTATGCATATGATCAGCAGTATGCATACGTCACACCGTCTACGAACTAGGCTGCCGCTGTAGTGCAGCAGTTGAACCTCTACGACCGGTAGTTGAGCCGCTGCGTCTTTTCCGCCAAACAGGTGTCGTGTGCAGAGTGCAGAGATGTGTCAAGGGGTCTGTTTCTCTATCGCGAAGGACCTCCCGTCGGGAATTCTACTCTGCTAAGCGATCAGCGAGCAAGGCCTCGCGTGATCATTACCCCTCTACACTCGAACCGAATCGGTCTACTACGCCCTACGCATGGTTCTACGGCGGTGCAAGCCATTGGTTAGTCCACAAGTCTGCTGGTGCGGCAAGATTTCTCAGATTTTAGGAGACTGCTGTTTTAGGAAGGCCGATCTGCTTGGAAATAGTACTTGGAAACGAGTGACGTACGCTTCCCGCACTGTACCTTGGTCACGTCTGGCATGGTGAAGGCTGTTGTCATCGTCATGGGAGCGTTCCACCTCCATGGTGCGTGCGCGGCGGGGGCGAGAAGAAGATAGAGAAGGGGGAGTTGGCTCAACGGGTAAACAGCAACACGCGCACTCGTACGATTGTCTTGCGTCAAAACGTCACACCGACCCTTCAATGTCAGGACTTGGACATGCCCCATCAAGTCCAGTCTCCAGCAGATGTGGTTGAAGCGTCACGGCCAAGGGTGGGTTCAAAAACACCCCCTTGGAGGACTGCCTGCCTCGGGGGGTCTGCTGCATACACCTTGCCCCCCCCAATAAAAAACTCTTCTCATTTTGCGCAGAGGAAGTCTGCGCGCCATAATGTAGGTGGGTTAAATTATGGTCACGCACAGCTCTCGCCCATCATGTACGATGTTTGGCACAATTCTCGCTTGGTCTGTCGGATGTAGCACAATATATCGTCCTCGTCGACAATCGGTCACGTGAACTCAACCCTCGTCTTGCTATCCTTACTTTTCACGCAGCACTACAAATAATAGTACTCCGAGTATTATACACGGTACTGGTAGAAGTTCCGAACTTTAGCTCTCTCTCGTGTCCAATTGTTATCCAAGGGAGAATGGTGAGGCGGGGGGGGCTTCAAGATATTGACCCAGGTATTATGCATATGTAGGTGTTCAGCGATAGAATGCAATTGGACTTGCCTGGTATTACGAACGTATTCCCAGTTCACTCCGCAGTGAAATTAATGGTGCCACACAGCAAGTGACAACGCGCTCAAATTAAATGCTATCCGTGTTTCCGATAATGATCAGAATTTCTAAACAGCAGTACATGATACCAAATGCTGTGTACACTTACAGGAGTTCATTATCTGTAGACCAAACATGACTTCAAAACAACCTAACCTCTTTATGCCACACCTCGTGTCGACAGCCACCTACAACATGTCATAGCACCAAAATGTTACCACCCCAAGCTCAACCACAAGATGCATCTCATACACACATTTCTTACAATATTTCTCCTCCCCACTACATATATCCACTGGTTTGCTACAAGTCAGCTGCTACCGTCTTTCAGGCGTGTATCCTAGACTTTTTTCCCGGAAAAAATCGTCACAAATCGTTCACGCCGGGTGTAGATGGACACAGCTATCCACTTTGGCTACAAGTTAGCTTCACGTCACTGCCCGGCCAAAGCATGAAACACGTTTTTTTTTTTTAACAAACAACTGGTATTCAACAGAACCGGAACATCTACATTCTTACGGAGGACCTCTGACGCTCGATGCCAGTACACGTGTACTATCCGAGGGAACTCTCCGCATCGCGCATTCTCCATATATCAATGACTCTTCCTGTCCGCTTGGCGCTTTCGTTTCCCGTATTTCAGCGCCGCTCCGAGAATTGCGGGTTCGTAGGCACCCATGGTGTGGTCGGTCATCATGTTGCTGTTGAGGCGGATGCCTCCCAGCTCTTCCGAGTTCGTCTTCCGCACCGTCACCAAGCCGCCCTTTCCGGCCGAAGACCCGCTTTCCCCATCCCACCCTTCCAACAAGAACACGACGCCCGGGATGATCAGATCTCCGACCGTCATCGTGTCGGAGGAACGGCGCTTGCCCCCTCGCGGCCTAACCCCTTCCCGTTCGCATCTCTCGACCATGGGGAGCATCTCATCCGGGGAGGGTCCACCCCCCGTCGCTAGCTTGTTGAGGAGCAAGAGAGTCAGGACGACCTCGTCGGACGACATGCTGCGTACGCCGTCCGTGACGCGGCTGACGTCCTTGTAGAGGCTTTCCGCCGAGGATCCCGCCGTGTTTACGGCGGCGAGCAGGCTCTCGGTGGCCTCCCCCACGTCCTGCGTGAACCTCGCCCACTCCTCCCCAAACTTGGAGATCGTGCTCCGAACGACTTGCGCCCTGATGGCGCTGAGGTAGCTGCTGATGCTGGTGCTGTCTTCGTTCTCTTCCGTCGCTTGGTCCCCCTCTTCTTCGCCGCCGATGACCTCCTCAGCGAGCATGTTTCCTTCTTCCTCTTCGTCATCATCATCATCGTACTCATCGTCGGCGGTGTCGTAAGCGTCGCCAGCGAGGAACGCGAGGGAAGGGTGCGCGCGCAGTCCCAGGATATCGCTTGCGATTTTGCCTGCTCTCCGTCCGGCGTTGGGGTTTCGTGTGGCGAGGGAATCACGGCAGGAGTTAGAATAGGGTGCCATGAGAGTGATATATGATTGTCCTTCGTCAACTCCCGTGTCACCTTTGAAGGCGGTTCACAGGTGCAGTACGTTTGCACAGAGCGGCATGAGATTTCATCCAATAGACTGCAAGCATTTCCTCGTCGCACGCTGCTGTCTCTCCCCTCCCGCATCAAAATGCTTGGCCGCCTCTGGGCACACACAGCAGCGAGTCAAACGCGAACGGCAGGATGTTGGTGGTGGATGGAAACCAAAACACCAACAACTTTTGGTGACCAAAACAGGGTCGTTGCTCTCTCACGTCTGTAATCCTCGTTCCCTGCCGCCCCGATCCCTTGCTCGCTCTGCTGAACGCGCACCCGAGAGTCCAGCACGAACTCAGCCCGCTTGTAGACGTCCAGCGGGAGCTTGTCGACGTGCTGGATCGTTCGGCACAAGCTGTACAACGACCCCAGGCTCATGGTTGGAACGCAATCAGCCCTATCGTGACGTCACCAAAACCACCGCCGTGCAATCGCACGGGAATGGGGGCAAGAACGACGTGACAAACATGTTTAGCATCAAGATCACAGCGAGAGATGTATTTCACTTTGAGGAGGGGTCATCAGAGACAGCAACTTTGATGGTCCAACATTTCCATGCCATTCGAGTATCGTGTGGGCCATTGTCTATACATGGGGTTGCGTGAAAAACATCCGAATCTGTATAGAAACAGTCAGACCGCTGACGGCAGTCATTATCGTGACGAACATTGTCCAACATAAGTTGTGACTCTCGGTAGCGCTACTCAAGGGTTGCTATAGCTTTCGCAACCGGCAGAAGCAACAAATAAGACATCGCCGTCGTTTGACCTCCGTGGGTCCAGCTCCACGTGGCGCCTTGTTAGCGCAGAAAAGAGCACGTCGCAAGCACGACCGGACATGCTTGCCGTAAGACCCTACTCGAATGCACTCCGTCTCCGATCTCCAACTAGCGCGACAAAACAAAGGTGCGACCAAATCACTCCTGGGGCGAAAAACCACTAGGTGATTTACAAAATCAATCGGAAATGGAGTGGGGGACACACCCTGGGGGACGGATGGGCTGCCCTTCGTGCAAGCCACGTGTAGGCCGCGAGTTTTTCGCGCTTCCCTACTTGGCTCTCCCAGGAGTGCGTGTCGTAACAGCAACGCAAGACTTCACCACTTTGGCTCACCCGTTGACGAAGGAGTACACGTCCCGCATCCACGTTGCCCCACGCACCGAGAACACCGGCGGCGGCGCGAAGGCGTAGCACTCCACGCGCACCGGGCGGCCGACGTCGAGCCTTGCCGCGTTCGCCGCCGTCTTGTCTTTCGCGAGTCTGAAGCTTCTCTTGAAAGCCTCCGTCGCGTTTCGCTCCAGAAGAATCTTCAACAAGATCGCCGTGCCCGCTCCGAGACTGTGCCCTGGAGGCAAGGCAAAGGGGCACAGTTTGGTGTCGAGTGGAGGGGGGGGGGGGGGGGGGGG